TTTATCATGATGTAAACCAAACAAACTGTCTTCATAAATTACAATAGACTATAATTTTAATAAAAAAGAAGACGGGTAAACAATATTTATTTTTAAAATAAATTTTGAGATGAAGCTAGACAAACAGATAATTTTAAAATGAATTAATAATACAATTCGGACAGAATTTTTCACATTGGGAAAGTTTGGATAGTAATACAAATCGGGCTCTTGTGCAAAAAATTTTAAAGGAATAAAAAATTCTTTTAAAACTCATGTCCAAAGTTTACGCCAAATATTCAAATCGTTAATGGCATAAGTCAATTCAGCAGTAACGCTTTATCTATAAGGACAATATCCTTAAGTTAGCCCTTGGTTTTAAGCCAGAGAAATCGTACGTATTTGTTTGACCATCGAATACAAATAATGCTATGGTACCAGTTAGTTAACTAAACTAAAAAAAGATTAAGACATCTATTAAAGGTATTTACATTATAAACCCATCAGTCAAAATTTGAAACATTTCTTACAGAAAAGAAGGACAACCTTCTGAAACCATCAGAAACAAAATAATAATATATGTATATGGAAACATAATTATTATTTTAAAATGTCTGTAGAAGCAATATTTTAGTAACTACCGCGAATTACCACGCAATCTAATTTTATTTTAGAAATTCTCATATCTGTCCCTGTCGACATTTTTTGCTGAACGCTGTAATAGTTTCTTTTTTTTATTTGTAATAAAATATGAACTCAACGATTTTTTCGAATAAGATGAAAGTAGGAAAGTTATTTTCAAAAAGTAACTTACTTTTTAGTTTGGTTTGCGAGCGTTGTCGGAGAAGACGAAGCGGCGTCGTAGTGAGCGTCGCAACGCGGAATGTCTGGGCACCACCTGACGGAGCGTCGCCTAACAGTAAACTAAATAGCAAGGAGGCTGGGCGTCGCGACGGACACGTGCGTCAAAGTCATGCGCGATTGGCTGAATTTTACATTTTTGATACCTGTTTATCTATCTCTAATAACAGCTTATGATAAGATTCATTAAAGGACTTTATCTAAATTTTAACTGTTGGCAAATTATGACATTCGTAAATTTACCACACAGTCTATACATTTGCGGGTAGGGTGGAAATAGAGGGAGAGATTGACTTAGTATTGGAAAATTTAAAGAAGAATATAGCATCAGGGGTACATTGTGGAAATATTAAAGCATGCAGGCCAAGCGTTAGTTAACCACATATACGAGTAACGGGAAGGAAAACAACTTCCAATATGCGACAAAATTTGTAACTAGAATTGTATAGAGAAGTATGGAAAAATTATTAGGGGAAGACCAATTTGGGTTAAGAAGAAATGTGAGGATATTGTAGCTTTACGGGTAATAATACACAAATCGATGGAAAAGGGAAAGAGCGTGTGCAATGGGTTTGTGGATTTTGGATCTGGAAAAAGTTTTCCACAATGTTAAATACGAATATTAGCTTAGGATAAGAAAGAGTGGAGTCCAACCTCACATCTTATGATGATGATGATGATGAAGTGTAATTGACATCTTTCAGGAACTCCTTGGTCCTTTGCGGATGTAAAAGTTTCAAAATTTTTATACCTTTGTAATTTCTGTACTTTTCTTGGCACCTTATTCATTGGAGAAAACAAATTTGTGGAGGTGTTGAGTGTAGCAATGGTTGGTTTTGTTTACTAATTCTACTTGGGAAAATTTAGTTTTTATGAATTGTACCATCAAACCTCCACATGTGCCTAATACTAGGAATAAAATTTTATTATCGTTTGGTTAAGTTTTTCTTCTATATTCGGGCTCATGTCCAAATATCAATCCAAATACCAAAGCTGAGATCAAGATTCAAATCATTAACAGCATTTCTCAAAAATTCGTCAGTAAGGCTGCCACTTGAAGATTGAGAAAGTCTAACAAAAAGCGATTTCTATATTTTTTTCTGTTCTTTCTGAAAAATCGTTGCGTGCGAGAACACATAGGAGCCAGGAGGCGCAAAAGCTGCACCCTCGCACGTCATCGTCCTTGTTGTCGTCAGGAAATCCGTACGCAACCCCTAGCCCACTTGTTACCACCGGTGAATGAAAAACCGCGTATGAACATTAAAGTGAACGCTGCACTTTCTCAGTCCGTTTTCCCCCCAGTGGGTTAGACGCCGATTGAGCTTTTTAACTTTATCTCGACATCGAGCGCGGGGTTTTTTAATACTTCACGACTTCCTCCCCTTTACTTGCAACCATCATCGGCCACGACGACAGCGTCTCAACGGCAGCAACAGTAGCAGCAATCCTCATTCCACTAACTTCAGGTCAAAAGCAGCCGGGTTCGAAGCACTTGCGTCAATATTTATATAGCCAGCTCAAAATGACACACAACTACCATTTCAGTGCACTGATGAGACTGGATTTGCTCTTATTGCACGACTCGTCCACTTCAAAAGTTCCCCGCTACCGAGAATCGCGGAATTGCTTCCCATTCTTAAAGGCAAAATATTACTTTAATATTAATAAGTGAATACGCCATCCAGACAACCAATAAAAACAACAAAAATCCGACTACGGCCTCTGTCTTGTTTGTACTATATAACAATTCCATCTGTTACGTACGCAGCTACATCTCATTCAATTTTCGCAATACTTCTTCAATATCTTTTCTGCAAGGAACATTTTATTTAGATAGAATCAGTTTCCCTCCCTCAAAAAGTTATTAATGTCAAATTTTAACCAGGTGAGATTACGTTGCCATCAATTTTTATGATTTCTGAATTCTTATATAAGCACCCCAAGTATTGGGACTACAAATAACCACAAACAGCGTAGAATTCAATTCTGAACAGAACTTATTGATCTATGAGGGAGGACAAGTGTCTTACCATGCAGATAGCCACGCCGTGGATTCGGTTTGATAGGTCAATATTTTTGACGTGACAACGTCTTATAATTCGATGGAGCCGGCTGCACGCACGAAAAAAACATGACTCATGCGGCGTTACCTCGCTCTGAGGCGTTCCATTTAAGGCTTGAAGTGCAAGCGAGAGCGCGGAACGAGCGACAAAGAGGCACAATCGGCCTCAGCGTTCGGCAGCGTTCGACATCTGTCTCTCTCCTACTTGAGTGAGCGATGCGTCCGCGTGGACAGCTGCTATACAATAATACATTTCGATTTACCTCCTTCTCTATATCCATACAAAATATCTATCAAACAAATAAAATTAAAATTTTCTTTTGAAAAATGAAACCATTCCATCAGTATTTTCTTATGACGTTGTCACGTTCAACTATCGTCAGTAAACCGACTTTACAGACAACCGATTTTTATTAAGAAAGACCTTTTTAATCATTAATTAATCCATAATTAGTAACCGCCTACAGTGACACCAAACTGTGGATAGAATAGGTCAATTATTCTGTTGTTCAGCCCGATCAGTGTTTGTCTCCCAGATTCGTAACTACATCACTCTCTTCCTGCTTTAACTAAAGGCAGGAAGGAAGGAATACGATTCGAAGGCAATCAAGAAGCCTCTCTTCGAAATGTGCTGTCGACGTTTCTGATTTGTACCAAGGGCGGTGCGTTGCAGCGAAATAAAGGGAGGAGGGCGAAACGTTGCAAAGCACTACACAAGTCACCACGACAGCACAACAACGAGCGGGAACTGAAAATACGTACACAAACGAACGCTGCTGTCGTTTCGTACATTTCGTTCCTTCATTTGTTACATCCTCATTCCGGTTGTCAGTGTCACCCGCATGACACAAACATTAGTTTCACTCCCGAAACCGACCACAGGGGTGGGTTCCCTAACCGAGTAATTTCGAAATTACGGCTTAACACTTGATGTATATAGACGAATAACTGAACGGGTGGAAAGTCATGCAGAATATAGCTGTAGGAATGTTGAATGACGAGACAATATCTTTCAAAATGTCGTATTGGTATCGAAAAATGATGGCAATCTTGTCGTGTTATTTTTGTATACGTGATCCTAATATTACCCATTTTGATTTATTTTCAGTGTTGCCTTAAAATCTGGATCTGGATCGAGAGGTGGCGTTGTAAACTACTCACCCGTCATATATCTAAATCACCACATAGTATAAAACAAAGTCGCTTTCCCGCTGTCTGTCCCTATGTATGCTTAAATATTAAAAGCTACGCAACGGATTTTGATGCGGGTTTTCTAAAAGATAGAGTGATTCAAGAGGAAGGTTTATATGTATAATACATGCATAATATAGTAGGAAAACTCTGATAATTTTAGAGGTTTCTAAAGTGATGTCGTAAATAAACACATTTTTTGCGCTTACATTGCAAACGCTGGCTGAATCCTACGAGATAGATCAAAATAATGTACTACAATATTGTACATCTTAAAAGGGTCTACAAAAAAGTCCGAGATGGTATATGTCTATCTCTTAGGGATAACCCACAATAACCATTTTTATCCTTTACTTTTTATGAGAAATAATGACTTATTTACGAAGCGATTGTAAGTAATACAGCATTAATTCTAATCCAATTAAATACCTTAAATACATTGTGCATTTAATATAGATCAATATGGCCTTTTACAGCATGTAATTTAAATGAATATTTTTGAAGATATTACAGATTTAAAATGCAGGGACATAGTGGTTGCGGCGGTACCGGCCGGGAGGCCGGTTTGTATTGTCTAAAGACAAAAAAACTGTGAATGATGTATATAAAGGCATTCTGTAGTATATTTAGTATATTCCGGGGGTATCTTTAGAAGATTTCCCCTTTTCGATAATAATCTAAACAAAACAAAAGTATATTTAGTATCAGCATTGCACCCGTGCGAAGCTGGGGCGGGTCACTAGTAATTTATATTTTAAAACAGATCATATTAAAATATGCTCCAAGAGAATTAATAGTGGGAACATGCATAAATTTCTAATATTTGTTTGTTTCTCCATGAAACTGCTCAAGCATCCAATACTTTGATTTCCCCATGGTTTCTATAAGTTAAAAATAACATATCAAAATGTTATTTTTCTTGATTTTGACGTTACTTCTACAGCTGTCAATTTCAGGAAGATACAAAAGACACGTAGAGAACTCAGCCTTGCCACTTTTTTATAAAGAACCCACTTACAACATCTCCCGATGGGTTAAAGTATTAAATTTACAGCAGTGTGTCTTCGTCGAAATAGGAGAAAACTTCTGTGCGGTATTTGATAATCACAAATTACAATAAAATGTTATTGTCCTTTCGAAATGCTAATGTTACGTGCTACTTCTATTTCATGTAAATTTTCACTTTCAGGTTTTCGTTGAAGTACGCGCGCGAAAAGTAGAACACGTAGAAGAATATTTCTTGGGAGTGTGTGACTTGGATACGATTTATAAATGGAGACTTTGTTCGGTAGCTCTTGAGAAGAGACGTCCCCGAGATTGTCGTTTTCGAAAGGAAGGCATCGAAGTAACCGATGTTGGAGCAAGGGTTCATCGAAGACTGTGCGACGTGACAGGACTCTCTTTCCATGCCGATCATTGTAATTGTAAAGCAACCCTTGGAAACCAGAAATTACGTCCAGTCGCAGGTGTGATTTGTGATAAACAAAAAAACCACTGCAATCAGTGACGGACGAATGCACGTCTAAAAGCTCACATCAGTTGTTTTTTTTTTAAGGTTTCCCAACTTGTTTCTTATCTCCATTGCCAGAAAGCATCTGTTTTCCGAAAAATGTTTGCGGTACTAACAAATGTTATGGGACGACAGTTTTAGACCAAGTTCATTCAATTCACTGTGATGAGAATTGCATGGATCACCAACCGGTGGGCAAATATAATGAAACTTTGAACATTAGTTACTTATTTCACAAGTAAATCTTGATTTGTATGAATAATTTTAATAGTTCTGTGAAGAGCTCGGTATGAGATCATCACTTCCTCCAAAAATAGAGTCCTACTGGTCAGACTGGCGCAAACCTGACTGCAATGGACCTTGTCTACCTTCTCAGTTTAATATCTTAGAAGCAGAATGCATTCATTCAAGAACGTTAGTCCCTATGCAATTTTTATGTTTTGTCAAAACATTAGTTTCGATTTTGACATTTTAGGGGTAAGGGGGCTATAGATTGCCTTGGTCCAGGAACGAGTTGGTAAATGTATTATACCGGTCAATAAAATCCAATTTGTCCTATTAAATATATTGCAGCTGCCCTGCAGATATTGAAAGATGCAGATGTAACGTTTTTGTGGAAGATGCTGTGTTAAAAGTGATTCGACAATTTTATAGAGACAAAGAACCAGGTAAGTAATAATGAGAATATTTTCGAGTTTCGATAAATTCGATCTTCTTTTAGATTTAGCTGAACGTGACACTCAAATCGATTATTATTTGGATGACCAGAGGAGCCCCATCAGTTACTTTCGAGAGTTACAGAGAAACACAAGGGAAAAGTATCCTGAGGAATTTGAGAAATACGCAAAGAACATGCGAAACTACTTAAAATTTGATTCTAAAAACAGAGATTATAAGAAAGTATTTGACAAAAATTCCAATCGAATTAAAAATTATTTTCTTACAAAATTTTTGAGACATTCAACACAAATTCCATTGAACTATGAAAATTATATAGACGATACGATACCTATAATGGACTTTACTGGAATTGGTAAGTATTTATGGACAACTTTAAACAGCAATAAATAATAATAATAATAATTAAGGTTCTGTACGAAGAAAAAGAGAAAAAACAGTAGAAGAATACAGTGATGATGACGATGATATATCCGACGAAGAGTACGAAGACTCTAATGCAGAAGACGTAGCTATTGAGAAGGAAGTAGGAGAGAATACCGAAACCACCGTGTCTACTACCGAAGATAAAGAAAAAGAAGAAATTAAAGAAGCATTAACTACGGAAGACACGAAATTCACAAAAAAACTCTTCGAAGAAGATGGTGAAGATCGCGTTAACAATTCTAAACTCACTCACCAAAGTTCATCTGGTGATGTAGCCAAGTTAATGATATCTATGATAGTAATTCTTTCTGTATTTCTTACAGAGATTTAATTTTGAAATCGATTTTAAAATTTATCTTATAATTTTTTAAACTAATACTGAAACTATTAAATATACATATGGTACATTATTGGGGAATGTTAGAAATGAAGGGGATGGAGATTAGAACAAATAAGAAAATAGAGGAACCAAAGAAAAATTTTTCGATGGCGCCCTTCAACCGAATTAAAACGATAAACCACGTTGGTGTATTTAATTGCCAGGGTCGATTTTCATCATAAAATTATTATGTACTTCCGGATAAGAAAAATTGAATTACTTACTGGGAAATTATAATTAGTAGCGTCTAGAGCGGGTATTTAGATGTAGTAATTCAATTGAGACGTGATGAGTGGAGAAGTTTGGATGGCTAATTAAGTCTTAAGATAGCGCGGCTGGGTGTAAAACTGGAGTGCGTAAGCTGTAAGGGACCTCGTTCGTTCCGGATTGGTATTATATATTGTACAACTACTGCCATCGTTCCAGCCCTCGATGCGATTTAATCAAACCTAGCGAACTGGAGCACCCAGGCGCACACTAATTAGACTCATCAACTCTTTGATGGAATAACATTTGCGAAAATTGGTTCTTTTGTGACATTCTCAACCCTAACAAAATTAGTTTTGTTGCGTTAACTTCAAATTTGTATGAAAAAATACCGAGCGGCATGGCCTAGAGGTTTAGACCATTGCTTAGCATTCGGGAGGACGCCGGTTCGATTCCGGGTCCGTCTGCCTTGGTCCAAATTTTTCTGTGGTTTCCATGGATCAGTTAGGCAAATATTAGGGCAGTTATATTCCACAGATAATCTTTCATTCTCTTCTGTCTTCATTTCGTCCGTCTCATCTTTCTCACTCGAACCACCCCCAACCAATCCCATGATTCCTGAAAGCAGGCTGAAGAGGGCCTTCCGCCCTACCTTCCGGCGTAGTCCGGAGGGACTGCCCGCCCACCAGCATTACTGGCTGGTGGGAATGAAACACCCAAAAGCTTTTTTTTTATGAAAAAATGAACAACGAGTTTGACTGATTTCAAATGTTCGAATTTTTAATGTTGGATACTGAATGGTATGGGCCTTGATACTTGGAATAGCAAAGGGTTTAAATAAAAATTGACTTTACACATCCTTAGACACGATAATGACAAATTGGTAAAAGTTTTCGCGGTCGCTAGATGAACTGATGCTGTCTAACGTTTCGCAAACTACTACAGAGAGATACTTCTATTTCCGACGCTGGATATGGACACAGGACCTTCTTACCAAATTACCTGTATACCAATATAATCGATGAACTTAAACCAATCGTCAAAAATTTTTTATTAGTGCTACAATAATTATAAATCACTAGGTAGTGAGTCACGAAGTCATCATTAAAATAGAAAAATGTAAGCGATTTTCACTTACCCGAAGTTTTTCCAATTGGGATCCGACAAAGTCTGTCTTCGTAGACTCCGAGCCTATTACAGGAAATGAACCCATGTACTGAAAACAAAAAAGAAACAAGGTCACAACAGAGAAATAAGAACAAAAAAATCAGTAGAATCGTTATATCATGAAACTAATGCCTGATAAAAAAGAAAAACAAAGTATGGACGAATTTCGTAGAAGATGTGATTTAATGGTAGCATTCTGAATTTTTCAAAAGTAAACAGTGATTTATTAGATTGCATGGATGATTGCAACTATTTTTTGTGAATAATGGCTTCCAAGGAGATTGGGGTTCAGTCGTTATTTCATAACTGCCTTCTGAAAACCTACCAACAATAACGACATTCATTTGGCCAACTAAAAGAATTTGGTCTTTTCTTTTTACCATCATTACCGTAGTACCTCATCTATTGTGTGCGTAATTCGCTACACATCATCTCGTTAGCTCAGGATGAACCAATGGACTAGTATTGCCAAATTAAAACCCTTGTTGCGTTAAAGCTTTGTATTTTCCAAAACACAACACTATGTACAAAAACTTAATGTATAAAACCTTAACCTACACATAACCTTATTTATGTGCAGATTTCCCAAAATTATATTCCTTGAATTATAAACCCGATACGAGAGCGCCTACTCGTCATGAAAAGCAAAGTACTTCTCCTTCTGAAATTATTTCCGAAAAACTGCCTGCCTCCTCCTTGAACCTTTTTTTATTGCCACTTGTTTTCAAGTTTCGATCTGCCTGCATATAACCCATAGTGCCCCAAAGAGAAAGTTAGCAGGTATAATCCCAGCCCTTGTAAATGTATATTTTTCAAAAAGGAGCAGACCAAATATTTTTTCTAGGAAATCTGAACATCTATTATTATTTTCTTGTACCCAAGCTTGACTACCTTATCCCCATTCATATTCCTCTCCTCTTTTACCATTTTTTCCAACATCTTCCGTATTTTTCTCTCTTTCCGTCGTCAAATACATCTCTTATATACACTGTTGTTCCCCTCATCTTTCTACCACTTCCCATCACCTGCATCTTCTCTTCCCACTTCTCGAATTTTGCCCCACACACCTTCTCTTCATCTGTCCATAATTCCTTCACCTCCACCTTCAATCCCATCTTCTCTTTTAACACCCTTTCAATTACCTCTTTTCTTTGTTTTCCTCCAACTCTATTCCAAAGATTATCAGGTTTATCATTTTCTCATTCCTTCTCTTCTTTTGTGTTTCCATTTCAATTCTCCTTATTCTTTCCTTTTGTTTCTCCGCTTGCTTCTCTACACGATTTTCAATCTCTGTCTCCTCAAATACCATTTCCTTCACTTCTTCTTTGAAACTATACCTTCCGTTCTTGTACCATTCCTTACCACTCTCTTCATTATATCTGTCCAATCTTTCTTCCAGTTCCTGTATTTTTTCCTTGATCTCCTCGTCCATTTCTTTCATCTTTTCCTGTATACCTTTATTTTCTTTCTAAGTTTTATCCAACTTTTGTTCCAAATTCCTCATCTTCTTCTTTCTGGTAAACCTCTTATTGTTTTTGTTTCTCATTATTTTCTTTCAATTTTTCCTGATTCTCTTCCTTTATCTGAAAGCTAACAATGGCAACATGTATGTAGTTTTCTTAACATTTGAAATTTGCTACTTTTCCTCTACTAAAAGTCGATGTCATTCCGTGGTTGATTTATTTCTAGCAAAAATATCCAGTTAGTTGCAAGCAAATGAAATTCCTCGTCCAATTACTGTTTGTTACCATCGCAATACCGATCGTCGTTTGTACCCTCCGCTGCTTCGAACTTTTCCTTTGACTGCTGCGTATTAGCTGTCTGCCTCTGTGACATTGTTACTCGGCACTATATTAACTTTGTAATGGCTCCTGTATGTGATAGTAGATCTTCCTGAGTTCTTCTTATTTCGCTAACTTCGCCCTTCTTTCGTTCTATCAACAAAGGACCGTTGAGAAAACTTAAAAAGGCTCTTCGTTGCTTTGCCAGCGGGTGTCACTTTCCTTTGCAGAAAGAACTCGTCAATCCCACTCACCGGAAAATTCTGGTAGAGTGTCTTTATGAGAAAAGTTGGGCACTTTTACAACGTCTTCTATTTTCTTTTTGTATAAGACATAATTTTACTTCTCTGGCATTAATCATCAAAGAGTTAGTTAGTACTTCTTACCGGCTTTGAAAAGTAGGCTAAGTAGAAGTTTTAGGCAACAGCTCTTTAAAGTTAACAAAAGGCACTGATTTTGTTAAACGTCAGTTTTACTGTGAGGCTTTAAATATTCTCTTCTAATGACTACCTCCGTTTCTACAGAATGAAGCATTTGAATCAAAATTGAAACAGTGTGGAGAGAACAGTTTTACTCTTTGTTGCGAGCAACTTAACCAAAATTAAATCAAAATTCTCATGTGATACAAATACTACAAATGACAAAAAATATATGTATATGTTTCTATACTTTAGTAACTCATGAAACTAATAATTCCAAGCACTATCGAGAGTGCTTTCTGTTCAAATGTATTCTTTTATTCAAATTAATCAAATGCAGGTTCGTTAAAATAATCGATGAAGAACATTCAAGCAGTTGTTTTCGAATTTTTTCGGTAAATTCTATAAACCCAGTAGTAGTATCAGATTTTCGTAAAAAAAAAAAAGCTGAACCGTTTTACTGATCTGTTTATCTAAAGTATCACCAACAGCAAAAACCTACAGGGCGATTCTCAGTTGAGATACAACCCTCAAGTTTCGACTAATCGAAGATCATATGATCCAAATTCAGTAATCACGAATTTCTAATTTTCAAAAAACTTCTGTGCTAAATAATGTACTTGATGAGGATAACCTACCCTCAGCTCCCACTTCCTTTTTTTTCATCCATTGTCCTATGTTGCTGTTAATCAGGTTGTGAAGTGAATATTTAATTTTGTATCTTTCAAAATTAAATTAAATGTGTTAAGGGGTGTTTTAATACTTGATAAGTGTGTAAATATAATTTATAGGTTCATTTCTCCCTCTGTTATTTGTAATTCAATGCATTAAGCAGTTTCCTCACAACGGTAAAGCTACCTAATTGGAAAAGCTCATTGCAGAACACAAGCACAGCTTTCTAAACGCGAAAGCTCGGCGCTCTCTCGACGGTATTGATTCACGAAGGGTTGATTTTCCGGTAGTTTCACTATCATCCGGTAGATGTCGCATGTACGAGTTTATCTATTTACCTAATATTTTCCAAAACTTCTTAACATTGTGAGCTTTTTATTGTATCAGATGCATTGGTTATTACAATAATATACATTAAAACAATAGAAAGGTCTTCCTTATCGCTAATTTATTGTGAATAACATTAAAACTGACTCATTAGTGACTTTTCTTTTCATATAAGTCAATTTTTAACTGTTTTACTATAAAAAATTAGGAAATAGGTCTGACATTATCTACTTCTATATCACGGTTACCTACTTATATTACAATGTTCTGATAAATCTGACATTTTCTTTTGCTATAAAATCCATGCAATATAATTTTATGTTTCTGATGGTTAGCTCGCGAAGTTTCCACAATCTGGAAGTCTTTTTTATCTCATTTG